CGCTTCCCGCAGGAGGCCTCCCAGCGAGCCCGGCCGCCCGGGGCCTCAGGCACCAGGCCGCGGTGGCGCAGAGTGAAGTGTACGGTGAACTTGGGAGGTTCCACAGCCGATTCCTGAAGGCGGTTGGCGCCGGTTTACAATACGGGGAATGAGAGTCGGATGAAGAGCTCCTCACAGAGGGTCGCATGCGGCCCTGGGAGCCCGCCACCAGGTGCTCGGTGGCTGCCTGTGGCTGGGGCAGGGCCTTGCTGGGACACTGCTGTCCCCAGAGGGTGGCGTCATGGCCCACTAACGGAGTGGCTGATCAATCCTCGAAAGCCTTCCCCTTCGCCAACTGCAGCCTGTTCTGCGGCCACAGTTTTCCTTAGAGATCCCAGGTCTAAGCTGCCGGCAACCCCGGGGACCACGCACATGCCGGTGTGGCAGCACGGTCACACGTTCAGCGGGGCACCCGTTTGTCCCTGGCCTGACCTGCCTCCTTTGCAATTCCAGAGCCGAACACGGTCAGCTACAGCCAGTCCAGCTTGATCCACCTGGTGGGGCCTTCGGACTGCACGCTGCACGGCTTTGTGCACGGAGGTAAGGGTCCCAGGCTGCCATCTCCCCTCCCCCCGCTCGCCAGCCCTCACGATGCCCCGGAAGTCACGCTGTCTGACCCAGTTCAGGCTCTGTTCAGTGAAGCGTACATTTAAACTTTTAGGAGTTGCCTAATAAGTACTGAAATACTGTTTGTAAAATTGGGAGTGAAAGTCGGATGGAAGTGCCCTAATAGAGTTACCCCACCCCTGGGAGCGCAGCCACCGTGCGCAGTGGCTGCCGTGGGCGGGCCGGGCCCACGCCCTCAGGAGTGAAGTCACGGCGCACCAACTGGCCGAGAGAAGCCATTCTTGCCGCTGATGTTTGCATTTATGTTTTCCTTTGGTCAGATTCCAGCTCAGAGAACACAGGCCTTGGAGTTCCCAGCTCGGGAAACACGGCGGGCACACAAGAGGACTTATTAGACGCAGGTTCTTGGAGGGACACTTGTTACTTGAATGATGTATAATTATTTTTTGTGATTTAGGGAAAATTTAAGTATACATCAAGCTCATAAGTTAATGGATATTATCATTTCGATGGCATTAAAGTAAACTTCAAGAAATAAGCTGATTTAAAGAAAAGCATAAGGGGAAAGGTCATTACGTGGCATAGACGATTGCGGAAACGTGACCGTGGTGTGTGGGTGAGGAAGCTTGGGCTGCACTGCGCTGCTCGGGTGGACGGAGCTAGTCCTGCTTCCCAGGCAGAACGGGCACTTGTTCAATGTCACTCATTCACACTCTCATTTCCAGTTGCCCGGAAGCCAGGCCTTCCTTTCTTCTCCTCTCCGAAAACTCTTATTCACCCTTCAAAACCCGGCTCAAATGGTTCCATGCTGCAGGGTCGCATTGCTCTTTCTACCCGGGATGCCTCAGGAGCAGGGCTTTATCTTATTCATCGTACTGGCTCCAGGGCCTCACGTAGAGTGAAGAGGCACAGGCCGCTAAGGTGGCTCCCTGAATGAGAGGTGCACGTAGCATTCGGGGCGAGGCGCTGGGATAGTGGGCCTGATTTGACCTACGTTTCTGAAGGTCATTTCTTTTTTAACTGATCGTTTGTCTGCTTCTTTTTTCAATTTCATGATTCTTTCCTCTTCAACTAAATGCCGCTGCAGTGCCCTGAGATCTGGTCAGCGTAGGTCCTCCCCGAGGAAAGCTCTATTTCATAACAAACAGTTCTTTCCAGGCCCCTGAGCATTGTGACAATCAGGGAACAGAATGGCTCATGCGGCTGTGGCTTCGTAAGCTCTCTCTTCCTCTCCTGGGAGGGGGCAGCCCCCTCTTCCCGGCCTAACCGCCAGAAGCCTCAGCTTCTGTAACTCAAAGGACTGGCCTGGAGGCCCGCAGAGCGCACCTGGCCTGAAACCTGTGGCACTCCGGGCTACGATTGTTGCTAGTTTCGCCCACACATGGAAGTTCATGCATGTGGCATCTCCGCCATCGCCACGTGCTCGGTGCAGAGTCCACGCCAGTGCTGTCTCCGTGCTCCGCGTGGGGGGGCGCAGTGCAGTGCAGGCCGCGGGAGACCTGCCGGGACCCCGGAAGCGGCAGCTCACGGAGCTCATGTCACCTACGGCGCCCAGGCTGCACCATTGGATACAGGCACACTGTTAATGTGTGTTTAAGAAGTGTGTGCAATGCCAGTTTCAGTAGGGCTTTTGTGCCCGCGGTTTTAAAAACAGTCTAATAATTTTACCAAACCCATTGT